TCTATCTATCTATCTATCTATCTATCTATCTATCTATCTATCTATCTATCTATCTATCTATGAAATGTTTGACAGATTCAGAGACTCAGAAGGAATCAGAAACTGACATATGTTTCCCATCTGTGCCAACAGTGATAATATGACATATTAAACGGCCCACATACACATTTTCTTCTTTCCAGTTCTGTCTGCAGCACATAGCCGACAGTCGCAACAGGTTACCTGAGTCAACTGGTGATTGGAGTGCCGCTTGGTTGAACTCCCAAAAGACCCTTTCGATATCCAGGGGGGATGGAGACATCATTGAGTGATGCTTCCTCCAGCAGTGTGCTGCACACACAGTCACACACAGACACACGCACACACACACACACACACGCACGCACATGCACGCACAGACACACTTTACAGATTTTGATAATCATGCCTCCTACCACCGTTGATTTCTTGTGCCAAGATTATGTCCTAGCTACTTTGAATCAGTTTTGAGGGGAAAAACAAGGCGGCGTGAGATTCAAAGCAGGTCTATAATCATTCCACGTTTCCCCCCGATTTGTTTGAAAATCCAAGTTTCAATGTCTTCCCATATTGTGCAGTGGATAGTTAGATTTAGTCCAAACCAAATACATACATGATTTATTTTATATATAGTGCTTTTTATAATTATCAACTGAAAAACATTTTGACACATCCGCAATGAATTTAGTAAGCAATCCACAGCTGAATGAATCACAGTGAAGGATGATTCCTGACAAAACCTTACTGTATCAAACCCTAACCTTATTTACTGGACACACACCAGCTTTGCCTGTCTTAGCCAACTGGGATGGATCATTAATAAATGCTTAACGTCTGGGCATTGCCTGAAATAAGTCTATCTCTGGACGTGGTCACAACCAGGAACGCGTGGTATCCTCTTGTCATTTACAAGAAGCAAAGCAATGCATCAAAACCACCCCCTCCCATCTCACAAACCCAAACCAAAAAACTTCAGCCGACCAAATCCTAATGGGATCTGGAATGGTTGCGTAATATGATTGTCTTTATTGCTTATTGCCCGTGGAGGGCATGCTGGTGGTTAGGGCTGCAGTTAGTGCTATGTGGGTGGAGGTATGATGCTAAAAGCTGAGCCCTGGTCGGGAGACGGTGGAGATTGCTCTTTATAGCCTTGGTGGCGGAGGTCCTTGCCAGAATATGGCCATCCATTAGAGCGAGCTCTATTCGGTTAATGGCTTTAACAGTTTTATGGCCATGA